TGATGTCCACATAGTGGGATAATAAGATTCACTATAATAAATAAATGTTATTACAAGTACATAGCAGAACAATAGCATTATTTAGATTATTATTTAGATTTGTAAAAACAACCTGTGGTTCAATCTTCCAATTGGGTTTAGGTCTCCTTCCTTCACCTCCTCCTCTGTACTTGGCAGCAGAAAAAAGTGGAATCTTGTTCAATGTGTCGTAGAGCGTCATAAATGTTCTTTTGTCATTAAAAGTCTGGCAAATTGGTTTGTATCTGTTCTGGTCCTGGATTTCCCCTTTTTCCAGAATTCCTGCAATGTTTGGTGGAGTTTTGTCAAGAAAAAAGTCAGGGCATTCTGTTATTGATGTCACCACTTTAGTTTCAGTGGGAACAATGTACAGGAGGACGACAGCAGCAAGGGGCAGGAGGTGCTGCACCTTCACTGATGGGCCCTATGCCAGGTAAAAGGAGAAAAAAGAAAAAGTAAAAACAAATTGTAAAGTGTTTTACTAATAGACTGATATAGATAGATACATATAGATATGGTGCATGTTCATATTTAATATCAACACATAATGAGATCAGTGTCTGCACAAGTAATCCCTGTTGAAAACAGTGTGATGTGGCTGTGATTTATGAACAAAGTGACAGCCTATCAGAAGTAAAAAAAGAGTCTGCAGCAAAGCCCAGTACAAGATACAATTTTGGGGAACTGTAAATTGTGCTGCGCTGATAGTAGAATGTAAGAAGCAGAAAATTGAGCTGGGGACATGAAGCAGGAAGTCTGGAAGTTGTCCACCAGAAAATCATGGACGTATTTATGCACCAGTTGCCCCTTTTCTGCATCAATTTATGGTAGAATTATCTTTCATTATCCAAAGAAAATGGTCAAAAACAACATAAACATTCAGTAAGGCCGTTCTTTATTGTTTGAATATAATTATTTAAAAATTCTACCCTTGACTGTCATCACTGCAGAGTCATCACACATAAATACATTTCTAGTCATTTCAGTGACAGAAGAAGAAATACATTTCTTCTTCTGTCCTCTGTATTTCCATATTTCACACATGAGAGTCAGACTGTAAAGAGATGGCTGTTTTGATTTTGCCTGAAAATTGTGTATATGCATAGTGCATGTAGCAGCTATTCACATGAGTAAAAAAAAAAAAAATTGAAACGCTAAAACCAGTGGACTTCTTTGAACAGATTTCTGCATGTGTGCAAAACCTACACTTTGAAAACATGTCACATATACATGCAGTCTGGTATGAATTTTAGAACAATTAAGTTTAACCCAAAAGATTCAGTGCTGGGTTTCAGAGGGTTAATAAACTGATCCATATTCACAGAGAGTGAAAAAGATCGACTCAAAGATTGTTGCCTTTCCACTGAGAGCGGGGGACTTGTCATAACATGCTTTATCCCTGAAATTTACACCACAACAACTGCATGAGTCATCATAAAAATTATTTCTGTCCAAATAAACCATTTGAAAACCTCTTCTATTCTTTTATTTAATCAAATAAAAGCAATCTCTTTCTTATGCTAAAAAATCCATTACAAGCAAAAGTGTTGCTTCTATTGTATTCATATTGTTTTTAGAATTTACTATAAAATTTAATGTATTATAACATATTTTATAAATATCAGTTATAAAATGTTGTAAACCCCCCTTTTAAACAAGTTAAACAGCCATTGTAAATGTAAAAGTGAAATGGAAAGCTGTGAAACTTGTAAACTTGCATCACTTAAATTACTATAGCAAAGTTCTTACCATCTCTTCTCTCTTGAAAACTGGATAAACTAGTGTCCATACAGAAGGAGTAGCGGTCAGTGAGGAACAAGATGGTCTTCCAGGAATATAAACTTAACCTAAACAGGAAGTTTTGTAGCCAGTGTGTCAAAGTGGACTACAGT